GCCGCAGCAAAAAATGGCTGCCCACTGCTCCGGGTGTGTGTTCACAGTGTGTGTGTTCACTGCTGTGTGTGTGCACTTTGGATGGGATAAATGCAGAGCACTAATTCCGAGTATGGGTCACCATACTTGGCCACATGTCACGTCACGTCACGTCACATAAGCAAAACAGGACTTTTGACAACAAAAATAGCCATCAATCATATATGATCTAACTTAACATCGCATACTTATTAGTGATGCATTATGTTCCTTATTTAAGGGTAAAAATAGGGCGCATAAAGCATCTTAGAAATGTTATAGTTATGAACCAAAAGCTTGTGGTGAATCTTCATTCTTAGTTATTTCGTAACTCACTTTCAATTGTAATTCATTATTTAAGCAGAACAGACAAGTGCGCTCCATATTCTTCAATATATACAATTCCACCTATAGGTTTGTGTTTAAATGTAACATTTCAGAGCTCATGGGTTGTCAGCGTTGCTATTATGCCGTCATTGATAATCAGTTCTATAGCGGCTGCTGATCCATGAGCAACGATGGAAAAGTTTAGGCAGAGGCAGTAAACACTGCAGCTCGGGTCAGCTCGTTCAAGCAGTTGTGGCAATCAAATCCACATGGTGTACATTAGACAGAAACGCCTGGCTCAGTGCTGCTGTACGCTGGCCTTTTGTCTCCATGTAAAAAGCAAATTCCACTCAACCTCTGACATAGTCTGACACACATTCCAATTCAAGCACAACAATGGAGGCCTTTGTGCTGCGCTGCTGTGTGTGTGTGCGTTTGTTTGCTTTTCATTTTTTTATTACACTCTAGATGGACTAGAAAGTCTAATCATTTTTTGTAGCCATATTGCTGGTATATGTGTGATCTCACAACTTCCCTCCATAACACAAAACACACACAACTGCAAACTTGACGACTGTTTATGGTGGAAAAAAGAGTTCTGTGTGGTCCCTTCGCTCTTTTGTGCTACCTGTACATTTCTTTCTTTCTTTCTTTCTTTCTTTCTTTCTTTCTTTGTTGGGATACTAGGAAAAAAACGATTATATTTTATTACATGATTGCTTCTTTATATATATATATATATATATATACTTTTATATATGTGACCCTGGACCACAAAACCAGTCTTAAGTGTACATTTTTCCAAATTTACATTTATACATCTGAATAAATAAGCTTTCCATTGATGTATGGTTTGTTAGGATAGGATTGTGGAAGGGTGCTTTTTATTTCACGTCTTTTGAACTGAAGCAATGCAACACCCGCTGAGTACAACGATAGAGCTTGAAAGATCAAAGACAATTTTTAATATAACTCCGACTGGATTCGTCTGAAAGAAGAAAGTCATATACACCTAGGATGCATCGGGGGTGAGTGAAACACAGCCTAATTTTTATTTTTGGGTGAACTAACCCTTTAAGACTGGTTTTGTGGTCCAGGGTCACATATATAAAACTGGGGTCAAACTCTATTTTAAGGTCCAATTCTCTCTATTGACAAACCATTAACTATGACTTTTGCCCCAATGAACTCCTAATTTGCTGCTTATTAATAGTTAGCTGTTAAGTTTAGGTGTTGAGTAGAATTAGGGATGTAAAATATGGTCATGCAGAATATGTGCTTTATGAGTGCTAATAAACAGCCAATATGTTATTAATAGGCATGCTAATAAGCAACTAGCTAGTAGTGAGAATTGGTCCCTACTAAAGTGTTACCAAAATTTTATATAATTTGGACACTTTTTAAAACTACATTTCCAGGTTTTAGTTACTTGAGGCACATTTCTGATATGTCTGGTTTGCAATCAGAGTAGGTGTGTGTGGGTGTGACATTCTCTGAGGGAAGTTACTATAATGTATTCAGTGACATTTTTAACGTTTTTAGCGCACACAATCCCATCTAACCTCTTTCTTCGGAGGGGTGTTAGACGTGAGGTGATGTTTGTGCTTCGTTGCTTTTGTAAACTACTCATTATGAAGTAAATAAGCTCATCACAAACACACATGCCACAGAATTGAGCAATAAAGCTATGCAATCCCTTTGAGCGGCCTATAAATTCAGTTAACGCTGTTAGGGGAGGCATTTTTGTCCGGGCTGACTTTTTGTTTGTTTGTTTTTCTTTATCTTCCTTCATCAGTTTACAAGAGGTGCAGCCCACATTCCTCTATTATTAACATCATTAACATATTAATTGGTCTAGATGTGAATTGTTATCTGTTTTGAACAGATATAAAAAGCAATCTGTAACATATTTTATTAGATTACTCAAGTTTAGTAACTTAATCTAAATACTTAGGAATACTGGAGGTATATATATAAAAAAGGATTTAATGTACCAAACAAAACAATTTCCATGTTACATAACTGTAGTTAAGACGAATAAATATAATATTACTGCAATATAAGAATAGTCGCAAAGTGCTTGCCATTCTTACTGTTTCTCAAATTTTAGTATATGGTTCCTTTAGTACATACATATACACAATAAAACATCATCCATATATTTGTGTTTGATTTTTCTAACCTTAATAAATTTGTC